TTTTTATCAAAAGTAAGTGCTGCGATGCTTGAGAAAGACAATCGTGTATGAAAAGTTTTTATCACTGGTTTGTACATCTTTATTAAGAAGAGCGCTGTGGGATTGTGCAGAGTCCTCAGCGAATGAAAGCCTGATTTTAAAAGTTTTTATTGATATTACAGAAATAAAAACAACATTTGCTTTCCTAAAATACATAGTATAAATTTGTTTATTTGATATTATGATAGTATAAACTTGATAGTTTGCTTTTAGTTAGTCATTTGTTTATCTGATGTTATGCTAATATAAGTTAGTACTTGATTCTAAGACTTGATTCTATAAATCAAAATTGATACATCTTGTCAATGATAATTTGCTTTAACCTAAACTTGTATATCTTCTGATATTATGATAATATAAAACTCGATCAGGCACATACACGTAACTAGTTCAGAGAGTATAAATCGTCTCTTCATCGGGTAGGTCGAGTGGTCTTCAAAAGACATCGCCTTAGAATTTGTTTGATGATCTGAGAATTCCATGTCGAAATATCGAACGTGTCAACAATGCTGAAAGACTTATAAAAACACACTGTCTTCCTCTAGAAATATCGCTAAAGCGATTATTACTGTGATGAATATAACCTCTTCAAACATTTCATCGTTAAGAGAGCGAAGCTCGCTCAGAAATGTGGACCGCTGATCAAGAGATTTGCTGGCTCAGAAATATGGACATCGCCTCAAACTCCAAAATATCGACTTTGAAATGAATATTATCRTGCGACACAGGGATCCCATTTTTGTTTGAAATAGTGTGCTGCTCGCTCGCTGCGCTCGCTCGCAGCAATTATTAACCAATCAAATTACAGCACCATCTAGGACAATCAGATTGTGCACTTTCAGTCTAAGCATAYGATCAGGTATTGGATATCAGTGACAAATCAACTCTTTCTCACAAATAGAAATGTCACATAGTCTGTTTAAAATAAAACTTACAATTTTATCACTGCCATAAATAGTTTCGAGCTGTTTTGCTGCTTCTAGTGTACCATCAGGGCTCCCGTCATCAATAATTATTATTTCATAGTCATGTTCGCTGTTGATAAAATGCAGTTTATGTCAGCTATCAGTGCTTTGACCCCCTCCCCTGGGACCATCTGGGACACGCGATTTGGACAAAATTTCAAGGAATTTCTATAGATTTAGCTAAAAGTTGTATTGAGGGAAGACTGAGAGAAATTCCCTTGAAATCAGTAAATTTTTTATGGGTGATCAACAGACACTAAAGCATACTATCTTCCAACAAAACAACAACATACACGGATAAAACAAAGTGTTTTTGTTTGTTTGAAATAAATGCTAACTGAATACAGGAATCGAAAATCTATCTGTGCAAACAATTTCCACGAAGCGTTACCTTTCTTCAAATGCTTTCACTATAAGCCACACGATGAGAGGAAGGTTTTCTCGTTCATTATAGGTGGGAAGAAGTATCGAATACTTGTTTCTGGCGGCCATTTTGGATCAACTTGACGTGGCAGGTACCACAGGCAACCCAATGAAAACGCCACAGGAAGCCCACACTTTTTAAAGACATAATTAACGTGTATGTTTGTGGGGACAAATGCCTAGAACTTTAAAATTCTTCATTTCAGATTCACTACTCAATTCTGCTTTAAAGTAGGTCCTTACAAAGGTGGCAGGTGTGTTTAACTATTGGGTTTAAAAATGGGAGTCGGGAGTACTGCTTGTCTCCACATCACTGTCCAAATCATCCCAAATGTGCATCAAGATATGCATAAACTTAGCTTGGACACTGATTTCAGGCCCTAAAATAACTTTCTATAATCTGCATGATCCTTACTGACCCTATGACAGTGTCAGTTTGGTGACCCTATACATGTACCTTCATAGCCCTTTGWTTTTTGTAGGACTTCCATGAAGGAAATACTGCAAAGGAGACTTCATGAAATCCCACCTTTCCACAATCATTTCAAAATACAACAACATACTCAAGGTCAAACAGAAATTTTATTAGGGAATTTAAGAGAACACTTCTACTTTTCTTCCTTCTTGAGCTTCTTCACCTCTGCCCGAAGAATGCGATTTTTCTACAAGAAAATACAAACATCAATAGTATTTGGAAATTATTGCAATTTCTTACTTGGTTTATGTGAGAAATTAATGCCAAGGAAAYTGCATTGACAGAATCTAAGATCATGTAAAATCTAAGTCATCAGACTTGTTTTGACATTTTGGAATAGTTTTATGTCCTCCATACATGTATATTAACCATCTTCATTTTAGTGTTTTTGTAATAGTTCTAACATGGTTTGTTCAGAATGTGCTTAGTGGAATCATGCAATTCATAACCCAGTGCAATTCATCACYACACCACCAGTGTCAGTAAACAAATTACTGTCTACATGTAATTCACAAGTTCTTTGCAATCTATCAACTTCTTCTCTATTCATGGACAAGAGCCTCACCTTTTGCTTGGCAAGTTTGAGCTTGAAGCGATCAAAATCATTCATCGACGTCCTCTTTTTGCGCATAGCAAGTTTCCTGGCCCAGTTGGTCTTTTCCCATTTGTCTTGTACTTGTTCAGCTTCGAATGCCTTCTTGACAGGRCCACTTCGTGCTGATCTTCCGACCTTGATTTTGAAGTCAGTGAGGGACAGATGTTTGAAGTTGATAGCCTGGCGACAGACACTTGTGCATGGACCATCAACCAAAGCCTAGCATGATAAATGACATAAATTGTTGAGTAACATTGTCAAAAATATAGAGAAAAGAGCAGGCAGTGGACAATAGCCTGCATAGCCAAGTGTTCCTAGCTACTCCGAGGGAGTTTAGGTAAGAGAAAAACTCCCCCTCAGAGTGGCTAGGAATGCCTTGCTATACAGGCCACCTGGACAAAGCATCTTTTAGCTTAAGAAAATACCCCTTCAAAAAAGATTTGTTTAGTTAAACTGAAATTTTACAGGTCAGCTATAAGTTTTTGCCATGAAAAAATGTGCACTGTTCAGAAAATGCTAATATGGAATCATGAAGTTTCATAACCCAGTGCGTTTCATCACAACAGTGACAAATTCTAATAGAATGTAAAGAGAAGTGAGCCACACGAAGGTGAATAGCCGAGTTTAGATATTTTGGTTCAGTGACCATGCACAAAAGAATTGCAGACGAGGCTCCGGGGAAATAAAGAATAAAACGATATTATACGCTCTTTGATTGGTCATTTTGAAGCGTGCACTTCAAAATAACTCTTTGCAATATTAAAAAAAA